AATATATATATATATATATATATATATATATATATACTCATCTGTATATAAAGTAAAACACCAGGGTCAAACGTGGTGTAGTGGCAAGTGGCGCACTATCACACACGTACGGTCACGAGTTCGAATCCCGGAGCGGTATCCGCCTGGAACGACAAGGCCTTCCATCCCTCCGCGCTCGGTTCACTGGAACGAGACTCTGGAAGAGGATAAAAGCGCTGAGTTGTACATTGGGTGGCCACCGCAAGTCATAGTGCAGGCCACATACGCATTCATTACTCCACTACTATTCTGAATGGGAGACGAATGGGGTGGCGCTTCCCTCAGACGGGACTCATTAATGCCTTCAAAAATCAAAAGACTTTCAAGACTTCATATAAAATACTGCACGAAGACACTCAGCACGCCTATCAACAACCTATCAACATGCCAGGGATGCCTATCAACAACTGACAGCGCTGAAGTCGGTCTTTGTACCACATTTCGTACTTAATCCTCAGAGTTTATTTCTTGAGATTTGAGAACAATAGTCGCGTTAACTTCCGTATTAACATGCTTCAGAGAAGACGATTTTATCGCAACTTTGATTGATAGTTGTTTTGCTATTCATTTTTTGACGCTCAATTCAATTAAACACACAGAAGTTAAGATGCAGTCATGCCGAGAGTGAGTAATGGAGAATCGTTCGCCGACTATTGTTGAATGAGCTGCTATAATACACTGTTTCACAGCCAATAAAAGGGTTCGGACTCCTCTTGTTATTAATTGTAAAGAAAGTAGTTTGTTACTGCTACATGCAGTGCAAGTTTAAAGACCAGGGCATACCTACCACTTCTTAGCACTATTCTATTCCATGACCTTAATTCATAGATATCGTGACAACCCTACAGCATAGGATATACCATTCTAAAGATGCCGTCAGCGCAGTGGACGATATACCGCACAGAATGACTGGGTAAAACGGTGAATTTATGTCATTTTTGTTTTGGGACCACTTAGAGGCAGTTCCAATCATTACAAAACAAAACGAAGTCACCACTACTAGAACGAAAATTCAATACGAAAATAGCTGAAATAGGGAGGATCTGGAAGGATATCAATAGAATTACCTTTACATTGATGTCTACATTGGGAAGAATATTCTTCACTTCCTGAGCAAACTGCTCGCGACTACGCTGGACGAGATCCTTGTACTGGTTCGAAATTGATGACTCCTGTCGTGCCTGAAGGATTCCATTTTTGAAATGTCATGTAACACACTATCATAGCGGAGAAAGGCAACCTTCAAGACCAGTCCATGAAGTTCGTCAAGTTGGTGGGATAACTTGTTTGCTGTTTCAGTTGCATTCAGGAGCAAAGGATTACTGGCAGTCACAGGATCACTCCTGCCACGGCTGATTATCTATGGTGACTATTAATACTCCAATTAACAAAGATATTGGACACTGAATTTTGAGAATTACTGTTCTTAGATAGTCAATATAATTCCTTCCATCCGCTTCTGCTTTTCCATCTCTGCTAGCAAGCGATTCAGCCTGTTGAAGAGCAGTTGTCACCTGAACAGTTCACAAGTACGAGTAACAAGCATCCAATTTCTTAATCGAACCTTCCAAGATTACTGCTCTGTGGATCTTTATAAATAGTAAGAACACAGCGTGACAAGGAATGACGGGTATAAAAAGGGTGCGAAGAATGATTATTTGACGATCAGAAATTTAGCAGATATGCGAACACGTCGAGTCCAAACAGAATATTGAAGATTTTATAGTTGAAGAAATTGATATAGCCTTTGCTTAAACCCATAGTCAGTTCAACAACTGACAGTGAAACGCTTTAATATGTAAAGAGTTTCATTCACAGCGATCATAAAGTGCTGCGTTTGCCTTTCCCGCACATTCTGTGTTAAATGTTGAATCGTTTCCGTTCTTCGGCACTCTGTCAATTTTCCAAAATCCCAGCTTGCTCACTTGTAGAATCATTGTTATGCGTTGGCCATAGACCATTGTTGCAACGTTTGAAGAACCAAAACCTACCTTTCCCCAATCGGCGTTTTGGGACTCGTCCACGGTTTCCTTGACAAGTGATGCGTGTTCGTTAATTGCGGCTATCGTCCTGATTTTAGCATCGGTTGCAGCGCGAACCTTGTCTTCAGCAGAATGAATTGCCGATAGCAAGGAAGACTCGAACTCTATAGGAATCTATAGTTTATGGACAACAGTGTCACCAACAGAACAGCAAACTGACCTGCAACTCGCTCAGCCGCTACCCCTGAGTTAACTTTGACATTCCCGGTTTCCATTGGCGCCCTCGCATCACCAGCTTCCTGTACGGGAGGCTCCCTCTCTGAATCGCAAAGATCATGTTTCGTCAGTGAAAAAAAACCCTCAAACAAGAGGGGATCGAATAAATTAGGTTCGAGCAATGTTTACCTCTCACTCCTTCAACATTCTTTTCTTTTTTTACAACAGGAATAGCATGAGCCACCTTATCCTTCAAATCTGACAAAAGCTGCCCTACATTTCTGAAAGGAGAAAAAGGAGCTTCGTACGATCCAAACATGTGACGCTGTCTAAAATACTTACGCATTGTGAGATGAGCCAAACCAAGCGTCGAAATACGGTTTTACCTGAGGGACGGTCGTCTCAACCTACCAACATTTCGTTATAAGGAATATTACTCTATTTTGATATTCGCTCACTTTCTTTTTGAATTCCGGATCCACATAAGCATATCCAATTACACCGACTGCCACAGTCGCCAGCGCTCCAACAGAATATAAAAACCTGGAAGATGGCCGCATAATCCATGTGCTTAGAAAGGGAAAGTGACAAAAGGGAAAGAGTGAGGAATTAATGAAGCATGAAAACGATGTCATGAAATTAATAAACTTCGATGAAAAACTAGTTGAGGAAGGGACACTACTCTTTCTAACTCTGAGCGCTAGAGCGCAGAGAAGAAGGAAAGGAGTGAGGTTCGTGGTCCAAAAAATATTTTTTTAACTAACTTCACTAGGGAAAGAGCACCAGGGCCAGTGGGAAGTTATTTCCCGGATCAAATGAAAATTGGACGTCCAATTGGCTTACCCATACCGGTGCTCTTTCTAACCAAAGGTTTAGTTCAGGAAAAAACTGTCTTTTTCTGCTAACAACGCTCCTAGGTCGGCTACTCATTCTCTTCTGCGCTCTAGCGCTCAGTGTTGGAAAAACAAACCCTCACCCCACACTCTCCCCAACTATATTTTCACCATTAACTTCTATGTCATCTACTAAGGTTGAATTTCCCTACATTTCTGGGAACACAAAATAAGAGAGTAAAATCAATTGCTGGCAGTCAATGACTTTACCTCCTATACACCATCCCCTTCTAACCCGCACATGTTTGTTAAATGGGTTGAGAATCCGCTGACAGTGGTCCCCTCTTCCAAGCTAATGAATAGGATATATAACACACTGATACACAAATGTAATATTTACTCACTTCGATGTGGCCGAGCTTGGTTTACGAGGTGGTGTAGGTGCTGCTTGTGCAGATTGAGCTCGAATACCTTTCAGACCCCAACCCACATATTTGTTCTAAATTACATATCAGCTCTCAAATTTCTGAACGACTTCGTTGTCACTTCACTCACCTTGACAGCCCGCAACATTGTTAGAGCAGGATAACCCGCCCAAGAGCAGGTACGACCTTAATTGAAACATTACAATTCTCATTTTTTTCGCAACAACATTTTCAAAAGCAGACAGGAGTTGTGAATGACATGTAAGTCATGATTGATTAAAGAATCGCTAGTTGAATTCAAATATACAATATTGGTTCTGAAGCAAACATAATCTTGTGACACAGGAATGGTCCTGGTCTGAATCTCAGTTACGACGCAACACAGCCCCGACCTACACAACTACTCATCACTCGCCCTTGACCATAAGCTTTTTAATGTGTTATAAATGTAAAGGATTATTCATGTTCGTCCAGTGTCTGTTTTATTTCATCTACGTGTTTACTTCACCACACAATTACGTGGAACGCGAAATCTGCCTTGCGTTGTGCACACGCCGAAACATGCAGAGACATTTCAGAAAAAGCTACTCCAGCAAACCTTATTCGGAAGAAAATCAAAGTTAAGATGGCCTTACGGAAGACTATAAGAAGCAGAGATGTTCCTGAGGCACGAAGGTGCTACGTATTTACACACCGGTAGCATTCTGCACTTGCGTACTATAGGCAACTACCGTAACCCTACGCTCACTTTTATTTGATTTCGAAGACTATTGTTCTGTTGACTTCATGAGTTTGAGAATTTGCTTTAGTTGATTAGCTCAACTCTTCGATTCAACTTGACCGAACTGTTCTAGGAGTCTTGGTTACCTGCAAGCATGTGGTCTGTGGAAGATTTTGAAGTTTTCTAAATCATACAAACAATATTAGTTCATCTGAGACTTCCAGACTGGACAACAGCCGACGACCGGTCAACAGTCAAGCAGTTGGCGGAGGTGCAAAGCGATTTAAACTAGAACTCATTGTGCATACACCCGTTTTAGGCACTTGAGAAACGATCGAAATGAAGTGAACCAAAATCAATCAAAACCAAATGGACCAAAATTATAACCCTAATTTACGGCTTTAGTGCTAGCTTTACGGCTGTAGAGCAAAACAGCGCTTATAGTTCCCGACCAGGGTTACATGCTTGCAGATATAGGTATTTAGGGCTTCTTTCAAAACAGAGGTCAAATCAAATTGAGAAGTTGAGCTGATTAACTGAAGCAAGTCCTCAACACATGAAATCAACTTAACAATCAGCTCATAAAACTGAATTAAAGTAGGCGTGGAGTTACGGTATATCAGTACGCAAATGCAGACTGCTACCGGTGTGTAAATAGGTAGCACCATGCGCGGACTTGTATTGGAGCGCCAGTTGGTTTATGTGGTTTGGTGCGGGCATTCGCAGCCAACTTGCTTTCGGGGCGCATGGGTTTAAGTTGCCACCTGAGCACCACACATAAAATGTGATTCCTGTGTCAAGAGACTAGTCCAGAAAGTAGAGTGTAATGAAGCATAATCAGTGAAGCATGTTACGAGTAATGATCCTGTCTATGAGCATCATTCATACTCACAAATTCTAG